TCCAAAAGGGGCCCTGGCCCAGCTGCCCAGCCCCAGGGCGGGGAGGGAGCTGGCGGCCGGGCGCTGGTCTCCTGCTTTCCCGCAGACTGACCTTCACAGCCTGTGCTGCGGCTCTGGCCGCCTGCGGGCCTCCCGGGGTGGGTGGACTGGGCCGGCGGGGCGTGGTCTCGTGGCCAAGCGGGCTCACATTTCCCGCGAGCTGTGGACATGCAGGTGCTCGCTGGCCTACCTCCTGCTCACTGGCCTCTGGGACATCCAAGATTCACCCTGTCCACCGCACCAGAGATCCCCACTGGGGCCAGGAGAGCGGTCAGCTGGGCTTTGGCAGAGGTGGTGGCAGCGTGCCAGTCCCCGGCCAAGCTGCCCAGCTCCTGGCCTCATCTGGAAAGTGGCCTGGACACCAAAGGTCGGGGAGGTGGGCCCTTCAGGGGGGCCCAGAGCTCATGGGGTTTCGGCCAGGATTTCTTTGCAGAAGTGCGCTCTGCGGCTAGCCTTTCCCGGCCGGTGATGGGCCCGGTGCTCAGAAGGCGACCCTGCCCGCCCGCCAGGCTGCCACGGGCAGCCCCGGCCGCCCCATGACAGCTCCCACGGGGCCCTGCCCGCGAGTGGGCCCCTGTATCTGAGGCCGAAGGTCTCGGGGTCCCAGGGCCCAACTGGGCTGGAGCTGTGGCTCCCGTCTGCACACTGGCCCTGGCACGCACTCACTGGCCACATCTGGCCACATCTGGCCACACTGTCCAAGGCCCCGGCTCCACCCTGGAAACCCGCCTAGGTCCGTGACAACCTGGCCTGGCGCCTGGGCCGGGTCCGCCTTTCCACAGGCGGGAGGGGTCCTGCCTCCCCACCAAGGAAGACTGGGGTCCCTGCCTGTCTCACTCCAAGGAAGTTTGGGGTCCTTGCCTCTCTGCCCCCCACAAGCCAGGCCGGGAGACTGGGACCTCTCTGTCTGGGTGACCCAAAGCCCCTCAGAGCCACCCGGGGTTGTAGGCTGGGAGGGGGGTGGCAGATTTGATTATGTGGGGCACCACCGGTCCCGTGGGCTTTGCTACTGGGGCCCCTCTGGCACGAGGGAGACTTGGAGCCACGGGACCCCGGCGCGCTGGGCTCTCACCTGAGGGGTCGCCCGGCCGCCCCGGCTGGGCCTCGGCCCCGAGCGTCCTCCGCTGCTGGGCGCTCTCTCCGACCTCGGGGGTTCTTCCGGCCGCGGGGGTGCCGGC